GAGCGTGCCACGTTCACACCCGGAGAGCGCGCCAGGGCGCACACAGGCCAGGGCCGGCTGCCCGGGAACCCGATTAGTCATGGCTCCAGCGCTTCCTGCCGGCCTGTGCTCCCAGAGCCCGGGTGCACCCCAGCCTCGGGGTGGCCAACTGATCAGGCGGTCGTGCCGCAGAGGGGCTCTCCAGCGCCTGTGGAAAATGGGTTCCTTTCCCAGGAGAGCTGCGGCCCCAGGGCGCTTGCCAGGGCCATGCTGAGGGGGCAAGGAGAGACGGTTCTCCCGCTCCCACAGCCTTGCTGGATGCAGTGCGGCCGCCAGGCGTGCTTAGTTCTGTAGCCTCGGGGTGGCCAACTGATCAGGCGGTCGTGCCGCAGAGGGGCTCTCCAGCGCCTGTGGAAAATGGGTTCCTTTCCCAGGAGAGCTGCGGCCCCAGGGCGCTTGCCAGGGCCATGCTGAGGGGGCAAGGAGAGACGGTTCTCCCGCTCCCACAGCCTTGCTGGATGCAGTGCGGCCGCCAGGCGTGCTTAGTTCTGTTATCTGACAGCAGCCTGTCTCCACCCATTCCCTTACGGCCCTAGGGCCTCCATCTCCCCTGCCCTGCTGCTCTGGCCTCACACACTGCCCCACTTGCAGGCTGCCCCCCCTCACCACTGCACCTACTGAACACTGCCTCTCTCAGCCGCTCTGTGTGCCCATGGGGTGGCGGTGGGGGGTGTTAATCCGACCACTCAGAAGCAGGTGCAGCTGGAATTGGCATGAGACAGGCCTGGCACCCTTCTGGGGCCTTGGGTCGCTTTCAGCTGGCACCCCTTCCCTTTGCACCCCGTCCCGTCAGGGGCCGACCCCCCCCAGCCAGTCACTCCTCACCCCCGGGCCGAGGGGGCCTCGCTCCTGTCCAGGGATGCAGAGATCTGTGGTTCTCCAGCCTGGCACGCAGGTTCCTGTTCCCCTGCCGGGGGGCAGGGACAAGCTGGGAGGGGGGGGCCCTTGGCTGTGAACGCCTGGAGGGGAGCCTTTCTAACGATGATTTATGGACTTAATGTCAAGGGGCAACACTGACTCTGTCTCATGCAGCCTGGTCGCTTCGTTATTTCGTCCGTCTCTGTAGCAGCGGGAGTTGGGCGGTCGCGTTAGCCTGGCCCTGGTGCGACTGCGGCTGGCATCGGCGCGCTCCGGTCAAGAAGGCTGCTGATAGAGGAGGGGGCCAGAAAGGCCTTTACTAGGGCTGGCCCCCGCCCCCGGCACCCCTTCTAGCCTGCTTGCCAAAGAGAAGCGACTCGGCCCCCGTGTTTGCGTATCCGCGTGGGGCATGCAGATTTAGCGATGGGTGCGCAGCAGGGCCTAAGCGGAGCCGATGGCTGGGCGGGGCAGCTAGACGGGGGTGCACGTTTTCGGCTGGAGGGGAATGAACCATTTAGCAAGAGCCGTGGCAGCGCCTCCAGCACCAGCCGTTTGCGACTCACGATTGGAGTTTGTGAAATCGCTGCCGGTGGCCCGCAGGCTCCGTGTGGGGCATTTCGCTGTCCCAGGCTGGGCAGGAGCTCGGACCAGACACCCCAATGGCCCTGCTGGCCCAGGAATCTAGGACCCTGCCCCCACGGGGTACTGCCCCGGGATCCACATTGCACTGCAGCTGAGCCCCCAGCGGCACCAGCCTCGCCCCCCCAGATGGAGGTGGAGGCGCCTGCTGCCCTCTGGTGGCTGCTGGAGGTGCGGAGGAGGTGGGAGGGGGTAGATGTCGAGTCCCCGCCAATCAAAGCTTGGGGGGGGGGTGTTAGCTGCGCATGTGTTCCAGTGGGCCCTAGCACCCTGGTTGTAAACTCCCTGGCCCGTGCTGGCTCAGGCTCTGCTGGGCACCTTGTGGCGCCCACTAGCCCATCTCCAGCACCGCAGCAGCGCAACCGAGGGGCTGCTGAGAGGCAGAGGGAGGCCTGCTCTTGGGTTAGCCAGACCAGCCATGACACCGAGGGCCCAGCCCGTGTCCCAAAGCGTGCACCATGCTCGGGTCCCTCTGGCTCAGCGCCCGTCCTTACAGCCAATGGGCCCTCTAATTTTTTCCATCCACATGCAGCATAAACGTTGTTCCGTGCACCTAGGCATGTGCAAATGGGCACCGCCAATAGAAACACATGCTGCTGTCGGGGGGAGGAAGCGGGACTGTGGGCGCTCTGCTAAGCAGCTGGGTGTCATTTGAATTTTTCCTAGGTGGCTTCCTAGGTAACAGGCTGCATCTACCCCAGAGCTGTACCAGGTTCAGGAAGACCTCACCACCCCCTCCATTGCCTTTCCATTGGACTCGTCTGTCCCTGCGTCTGACTAACCCCTCTCCCTGGACGCGCTGGCTGCAGCCTGCTTGCTACTGGAGCAGGCTGACCGGAAGTGCTCTGGACGGTCCGCCACGTCCCTCCCCTATCCGGCCCCCCGGTCCAAGGCCTGCCTCTCCTCTCCAAAACCCTGACTGGGTCGGGACCTGGCTATCGCAGGGTGCTGACCGTGACAAGTCGCTCCAGCCAAGGGGTGCAAAATGCACTTCTGAGCGCCAAGAAGAAGCGGTGCCTCTGTGTATCGCCAGCGCAATGTGACTTCAGTCCTGCAGCAAGTGCGGGTCCCCAGCACGGGCAGGATTCCTGGCTCGTTGCGCCCAGAGCTGAGTTTTCCAGCTCTCCCGTTATTTCCTAGGAAAGGCCAGGTTCCGTCCGGGGTGCTGGCTGGGCAGGGCCCCTGCAGCCAGAGCGGAGCTGGGGCCCCTGGGGCGGATCTTCAGTGCTGGGTGTCCTGGGGTCAGAGCCCTCCATCACTTGACACCAGCTGGGCTGAGAAGCCACCAACCCCCTTAGGACACTGCAAACCTGCTGCAATGGTGAGATTTCCCCCATCGCCCCAGCCCCCACCCCTGTGTACCGGGACCAAGGCCCCAGCCTGCCAGGCACTTGCATGCCGTGATGGGGGCTGGGGAGGGCAGCAGCCGGAAATGGTGGAGTTCTCAGCTGGAGTGTTTTGGGGCTGCTGGCTAGGTCCGTTCTGGCCCAGGAGCTCTCCCCTGCGCGGCGAGCAGCGGCCTTAGAGCGGGGCGGGCTGCCCATCCAGCTCTCCGGTGTGTTCATCTCAGGCATGTGGCCCGTTGCCTGCCCTGGCTTCCAGCCGGCTAGTGACTTGGTGGCCGGGCTCAGAACCGCTGTAGCTGACTAGCAGGAGGCCCCGGGGCGGGGGG